AGTGGAAACAAGCGTCTGGCACTGGCAATGCCCATGGGGACGCAACATGTAAAGTAAACAAAGGCGTGTGTGTTAAGTACCCGCTTTCAGGTTGCACAAACTCTGCTAAGGGTCTCAGATTTGGCGCACTTTCGTTTCAGTGCGGCGACATAAACTGCGAACGGCTTGATTTCTCCTGACAAGGTTCAGGAGAAACACAGGTGGCGCAAACTCCTGATTTGCCTTAGGCAAGTTGAACGAGGTGAACGAGGTGGTGAACGAGGTCCAAACTTATCTTGCTTTGACAACCGCCAATACTTAAAGAAAAGGAAGCAAGAGCAGCTGCACAGGTAGAGCCAACATCGAATCCCCATACGAGACGCACATCAAGCATTCAGCGTTTCCCTGGTTTCGCTTGGGTGTTCAATCCAAGATCCAAGCAACAACATGTGAAACACAACCTGGGCGCAACATCTTCCTGGAAATCGAAACCCAATGGAATACACACGTTGAAACACAAACGCATCGACTTCGGAAACAGGATGTACCCTCAACAAACGACACCCGCCATAGTCTTGTCTTTAACTGGGAAAATCCTTAAATGGACAGTTCCTGTCAAACCAGCCCTGAAAAAGGGCACGTCAAAACAACTTATCTTCATGCATCACCTCATTCAATGAAAACTCACATTAAATAGAAAACCACATTAAGGCGAAGGAAACCATTGTGTAAAACCTAGAGGTAGCCATGTCTGGTGGTAGCTGGAAGCACTGGGTGATACTTTCAGATTCTGTTTCATGTCTAGTCAACCCTCTGTAAAGTAGCTTTGGAAAAAGAAAGGGGGTGAAGATGCGAAACATGTCAAAACCACTAATTGGATGTTCGGGCAAGTTAGCAAGTGGCTAGCCAATTGGGGTATAATCCCTTCTCGTCCCTTCTAAGTGTTAACAACCTGTTCCCACAGACACTAACTTGGCCAATCCAGGACCCGACCCTCGGCAAGTTGTTGGTAACCTGGCTCGGCTATAAACCACTTCCCGCCTAAGTGGGGTTAACAACTTGCTAACCCCCCCACAATTGGCAAATCACAGACACTAACTTGGTAACGAACATCCAAGTGGTCTTCCAGAAAGTACAAAAGCAACCACCCTAAGCATCTGCCGTCTTCAGTCCCAAGCCACGACAACGCCCCAACCGCCACCCAATCGATCCCATCCGCGCGACGGCGCGCCTGCCACCGCTCCAGGGCCTCCCGCAGCGCTGTGTTCCGCAGCGCCGCGCTGAGGCGCGTGGCGCGAACGGACCACAGCTGCAGCGCCGCCAGGCAGAGTCGGTGGTGCACCGGTTGGTAGGACCAGGCGTCCGGGTCCTGATGCAAACAAAAACAGGCGGGTGAAAAAACGGGGTGGGCGGCGCTTGTTGTTATTTTTGCGTTTTGTTCTGTTTGTGTTTTTTCTTCTTTGTGCGTTTTCCTTTTTTGTGGGGGCGGGGGGGAGGCGGGGGAGTGTTTGTTTGGTTGTTTTTTGGGGGGAGGGGCAAGTTGGAAGGAAGCGGCGGGGTGGGGGGGAGGCGTTGCAACGCGCAACCCTCGTGCTTGGGGACTATAGTGCCAAACAAAGGCTTCCCCCTCAAAAGAAGGAAGGGAGCATTCAGACACAGCCCAAACAAGGGTTCCACAAAAAGCACCAGGGAAGCCTTGCAAAACAACTGCCAGACATAATGTGCTCCCCCTCAAAAACAAAAACAAAACAAACACCTAGTCCTGGCCAACAAATCGCAGGGACCGGATCCCTTCCATCAACGAGGCCAGCCCCGTCCTGCACGAAGCCCGGGCTGAGACTCGTGCTAAGCGGCGCATGCCTTGCGGTGCAAGACAGGCCTGTAACCCAAAACCGGTGTACCAAGGAGACTCCGTTTCTACTGAGATGTTCGTCCAAGTCAGTAAAGTGGTTGGCCAATTCGGGGGTGCAACCCCCCCAAGTTAGTAAAGCGGTTAGCCAATTGAAGGTGTCACACACACACACACCCAAGTTAGTAAAGTGCACATGGTTAGCAAATTGAAGGTGTACCCCCCCCAAGCCCACAAGGTTAACCCCACTTAGAGGGACTTATAAGTGGGTTATGACCTAGGTTACCAGCAACTTACTAACTCGACCGAACATCCAAGTAGAAATGACGCTGTTGAAGGGTCCATGTAATTCTGTGAAGGACTGTGTAGTTGTGCGATATGCCTACAGCGCATCACCATATTCCGGTGTGGCCCGTTTCCCCATCCTCGAAGAACCATCCCCCCCCACATGAATTTCCTACGGAACATGGGCCTTGCTGGGCCTCCTTGATTACACCTTCACGGATGAATGAGGCACTGACTTATTGTCACAAAGAACCCACTAGTTGGCAACTGAGTAGCATGTGTTTGGCTACTCCCAAGATGGCTTCGGTTTCCTTTGCTTTCCCTTTAAGCCCACCTAAAACCTCGGGCCACAAAAAAGGACGACTCGCCCAATCAGAACGAATGAGTCTCGAATTTTATAGGCTGAATCGGTCGAATCGCACGCGGCCATACCGCCAGCATGTGGGCAAAGGGAAGCGCAGAAGCTTAGCAGAAGCGTAGGACCCCTGCAGGTTGAAACACCCAAATGGGTGTCGTGTTTTGGGGAGTTGGTAGCCCTGCTTTGGTGGTTCTTAAGGAAACCACAGGAAAATAAAGACACGTCGTGCCATTCTGGGGAGGCCCGAATCCTAAAAAGGACCCATACCTTTCTGGGCTACTCCGGAATCGCTCATCGCTCCTCGGAACGCTGGCGAAGTGTTTACTTGAAACCGGCCACCACGCCTCCCCGCCAGGGTTGCGCCAACCCCCTTGGGCAAACATGACATCTACACTAAAATCTATCTTCTTTCAACTTGCCTCCCTTTCAAGTGAAGGGTCTGGTTGCCCGCCCAGAAAGGCCGCCTGCGGTCCCAACGGTTGGTGCCGCCGAGGTGCACCGCCGGCTGGAAATGACCCAGACTCGGGCAGGCTCCATGCCATCCGCAAGGAACGCTTCCCGCATGCATCGGCTTTCGGTGTTCGATCGCTTTCCGCTGTCGTTAGATCGGAGTGTGGGGTTCAGTTGCCACCATGAAAACACGGTTCATATTTCACCACCAGTGTTTACCCTTCAGGATTGTCATCCAAAGTGGCTCCTTGCCATTCCTTTTAATGGGAGCAAGCAAGGCACCCTAAGAGTAATGTCAAACTCTGACTGCTTGAAAGGACCCTACCAGCCAGACGCCTGAAATAGATGTCATTTCCTGAAAAGGGAGCTAGCCCTGAGTACGGTTATCCGGATGAATCCTAAGCTGACATCTTTAAACATTGGACACTGCCCCAATGTGTGTTCGAGCCGAGTCCGATTTTCAGGATGTAGGTACACCTGTTGCAAAATATGTGTGTGTGTGATAAGCACCTGTTTTCAACACAGTTTAATGGTATGTCAAGCTCGTGTTCGGCCGAACGGACACATAGGAGACCTATAGACTCGGCTCACTTCGAAATAAAAGGTTAAGCGTTTGCAACCTTGACTACATATGGACCAAATCAAGGAAACCTCAAAGGGTCGGCTGGCAAGTGAGTCAGTCTTGCCTGCTTGCGAGTATGGAATTGCAAATCAGGTCAATAAGTACACAGTTGTGGGGCATGGTCCCCCCGAAAAATAGGAACCCTTACACTTGTCTAGAATACCGTTTAACGGGTCCATGACCATCCCACCAACCTCAAGCCAAAGGGCTTTTTGTTTGGGGGGGGGGGGGGGGACTGGTGTGGGTGATATCCTGGAACCAAAAGAGCACTCCGGGGTCCCCCACGTTTTGGTATAACGGCCTGCAGATTTCGGTGTGAACGGTCTGCCGTAAACGCTCTGCCGGCCTTTCTGTTTCGGCTCGAGCCAATGCGGGTGCGGATGCCGACCAGTCTCCATGCCGTCACTGGCGGAGGACGCCACTTATGCTGGCGGCCCTGGCGGCCTTGAAGTTTGTCCAAGTCGTTCACAGCTCGGACCAATTGTGACACGTTGGAGACCGTGCGGTGCTCGTTTACCGTGAGTGATACAAGGAAGGGTCTGTCAAAACATGTGTCAAAAGGGATCCTGTTAGGAACGGAAAGAGCTGACAAAAGATACAAATAGCCTGGTTTTATGTAGTTGGTACCTGAGTCTCTTCGAAACACATCAACAATCGTCCGGCCTTCGAACCGGATCCAGCAACATGGATAAAGATCTTGGACTGGACTGGAAAGATGTTGGACAAACAAAAACTTAAATGTGATAGAGAAACATCAGAATGTCGTAAGTGGGTGTCTCTTGTTTTGTGTTGCCCCCTTTTGGTTGGCTTTAAAGGGAAAGCAACAGGAAAACCATTTCGAAATCTATTTTGCGGAGTCCAAATCCTTAAAACAGACGATCCACCCAAGTGCTTCAGGGACTTCCACCCTTGGTTTATCTGGAGGTGTGGGTTCCATGCCGAGCTGGAATCACTTTTCGGAGGGAAATTAGCTGCCATCCCAAAATCAGACAAGTCCTGCCAGTGGATCGTCACTTCTTTTTGAAGGGAAACCACGTGGAAAACCGAAAGGCAAACTCCCCTCAGCCCAGTTCGCACTCAGAAATAAAAGGTGATCACCTTTCAGGTTGGCTTTGGGCAAGTGAGTCCCTAGTCACATTTGATTCGATCTTTTAGCAGTTTGGTGAGGGCAAACAAAGCGAACCCTGCACCAAGGTTCAACCCAAATAGTGTCGAACTCGTTTGCCTCCATGCACCGGGTGCCCTGGAAATGGTGGAAGCACCACCGTCGGCTGGAAATTCCTCACTATCCGAACTACGTTCTTTTCAGGGCCCTCACGCCGAGCAAAGCCGCCTGGAAGAAGGAAACAAGGGCGTGGCCCGGGTTGGCATTTGGGCTCCGCTCACCCACCAGGTACAGAAAGGATCCCAGTGCCTCATCACTGTCATAGCTTGCAAGACGCTCCGCTTGGACGTTCTTTTCACCAAGAAATGGAGTCATGTACACTGCAGGGCTTCAGCAGTGAGCCCTCCTTTTCATACACTTCCCAGGGAAAAACCTCCTCAGGAGGGAAAAAACCTGGATCTCGCCAAGGCAGCGCGCCAATGTCAGAAGCAACTCCAGTTGTCATGAGCCCAAAGAGCCTGGGCGACATTTGCCACTGCATCCATATTTGTCGGCAGCTTTGCGTGGCGCTTTGCCAGGTGAGAGTGACACATGAAGAAGCCGCCGGGCCCCAATGCATGATGATTGGCGAGCGCACGAAACCTGAAGTGATGCAGTCGCTCTGCTTCCCCCCCGAGGCTTGCTTGAAATCCTACAAGCAGCTTGGCCAAAATGCACCGTGGCACCAGTCTGAGAGCTGGGCTCACTGTTGCAGATGAAGGCTCCGGCCTGACGACCGCGGACATACTGACACTGCAACGCGCCCATTGGTGTGAGAGACTCTGCCTGGTAGCCACAACAATGGCCAGAAAATCGGGGAGTGACATCGGACATCTCCTTTGCCTAGCCACAAGGCCAGCGGTTGATTGTGGCCTTCCTTCCCCACCAAGTTGGCCCGTTCACAGTGCTTCGGGGTGCTTTGGATGGCGCCTGGCAGCCGATGGCGGAGGCGAGCGCCGCTCGCTAGAGTTCGATCCGCTTCTTCGGCGCCGGCAACGCGTTCAGCAGCGCCCGGAGCTCCTCTTCGTCCTCGCGACCTGGGCCAAGGGGGAGGAAGAACGGGAGGGGACTGGGAGTGTGCTGCCAAGAAGGGTCCAAGAGGAAAGCGGGCAGGGAGCTGGTTGCAGATGCAGACAACGTTCCAACACCACACCTGGACCAGCAGGGGTTGGAAAATACGCTGCGATAGCCCAACACTTGCCCCAAACTCGAATCCGCCCCAAAAAGGTGCACCAGCCAGAGGCCCATCTGTTTCACATCATCTTGCCCATCACAAGGCCAACCATGTCGCAAACTGCATGTCGGAAAGCGCGGCCTCACTCGGCTACTGACATGATTCGGAGAGCCGCCTTCCTAGCCGCAAGCCTCAGGCAGCCTCATCCTCTGAAAAACTACTACCATATCAAGCAAATCTGCCTTGTCTCGTCCGTCTATTGACCCCAGGATTCCTCCCGGCCTGAAAAGGCAGGTGCAAAACACATGCTGGAACCGAACACATATAAATGGTGGGAGCACAAAGCGCTTGGCCCTCAAGCTCGCCTGCGCTTCAAAATACCTGGTACACGCGCAAGACCAACTGGCGAGGAAGTATATTGCGCAATGGAAAACCATACCCAACAGCAGCTTCGCTTCAGTCCGACTATACGGCACAACGTCTGCCTCCGCCATGTCCGAATCCCTAAAATGATTTCCTTGAAGCGGCCCTTTCATTCATCTGTCTTGCTCCCGTGCGCATGTGTGAGCAGACATGTAACTGTCCGGCTTTTGGAGCTCTTGAAACCCGCGGCCTCCAGCAACAGTATTTCCCTGGAAGTCTCAGGAAGGTCCAACGCAAACGAGGTCCTGCTAAGCCCCACCCAGCGCCGTGCCTCGCCCCGGCGCCTCTGCCCCCCTGGGCTGCCCGGCCGATCTCGTTGAAACGCAGATCCACCTCCAGCTGCTGGAGCTGCACCAGGCCGCGGAGGCCCTCCGCCAGGCCCCGGGCGCCATCCGGACCTCGGGGGCGGACGGCTTGGGCTGATGACCTCCTGGGATGCGGACACTCGCATATAGGAACGCTCCAAAATGGTTCAACATATGAACATAAGTGCACTTTGTGCAAGTCAACGCATACACACGCACTTTCCTTTGCAATACATGCTTAGCCTGCATATACAACTTGCCAGCCGGGTCTGACTTTGGCACTCCCTGCGTGTGGCGTGAGATACTACTACACACCCTTGTTGAGTCCCGAGGCGGCTCTTAGGTTCTGACCGCAACGCAGTAGTTAGTTACTTGGAGGCGGGCAGATCCGTTTGCTCATGAGGAGAGGCGGCCGGTCATGGAGGTGGAAAGGGAGGTGGGGCGGACAAGGTCGAGCCTCAAACTCTGCGACCCGAGCACTGAAGCTTGAGGTTTGAAGGATGTGCGCTGCGAGCCTGGAAAAGAAACCTGGGATGACGGCTGTGGGCAGGGCGTATACATGAGAGGCACCCAGAAGGTGAGCGACAAGGAAAAATAATGACGCGAGGCCCGGGTGGTTGGGCAAGTGACTGCTGGCGACACAGGCCTGCCGCTGGTCGGTTGGTTTTGGGATCGGGCGGAGGAAAGGGCAGGAGAAGGACAGGGTGAAAGCCGAGATGTTTGCAGGGCCGCAAACGTGAGAAGGGGCCAGCAGGGAGCAAGGGTGTGCGACGGAAGTGAAGGAATTGGCAAGAGGAGATGCCTCTTGGACGACGATGTGGCGCAGTTGCTGAAGGGCCCCAAAGCGAGAGCGCCCAGGCCGCCCGCCAGCTGCATCAACAAGAACACCAAGCAAGGCGCTGCTGGGTGGA